CTACGAAGCCGTCATTGCGGGTCTCTGGGCCTCCATCCGCGACCTCAACGTGCCGATCGCCAACAAGGTGCGCTCGTGGCTCCTCGACGGCTTTCCCGCGACGATGAGCCTCAAAGACGACGCGGAGACCAAGCACCACGTCGCCTACATGCACCTCATTGCCTTCGCGATCCAGCTCATCGGCCTTGTCTGGATCGTCTTGCTGCCGTCGCAGAAAATCCCGCTGGCCATGATGAAGCAGCGCGGTGGCGCCACGTCCGTCGGCGTCCTCGTCGCTCTTGGCTACGTTGCGCTGATGGCGTTCTCGTGGCAGCAAAACGTGCACAGCTATGCGCAATAAGAACTACAACTATATAGATACTATACGACTAGACACACTACGATAAACTAACAAATCGACTATTTATGATCTTCTATCCTCTGCTGCGCGTTTGTGTATGGGCGACAACGAGACGTCTCGCTTGCGCGTGCGATGCAGCCGCATGATTTGCCGGCCAAGAAAAGGAATGTGCTAGAACAAAAGGTACTGTGTAATGTTGTCTTTGTCGCAGGACAACCGTCGATGCGTGCCCTGCAACGAACGCGCTGCTTGTTTCTGCACAGCAACCAAGTTTTTTGGATTGCCGTCGGACCGATTACGCTTCAGCGAGGGCTGATAAGCATCATCTCGACGCGGCGCCCGTGGGCTTGTTTGCGGTTTCGTGATCACGCAGGCGTCGCATGATGCAGGCGGCACCGTACGCGCGTAAGCACTACACTACGAGCAAACGGACCGGAAGGATTGCAGGAGCCAAGGTGTGGGTTCGTCGTAGCTTTTTGTTGAAAGTTACTCAGCCAGGTATACCCTTCCGCGACTTTGCTTTGGGAATTGATTTCGAAGGGTTAGGGTTGATGTCTGAATGATCTTGTGCGACGAGCAACCCAAGCACAAGTACAGTGCATTGGCGAAACTATACATTAGCTTGCCCACTTGTACGTGCGAATGCCACGCTTGGGCACGACTGTCTGGCGTCGCTCGTCGTCAAGGCAAAGCGCGCCTTCCGAGTGCTCGTTGAGCGCGACGAGGACCTTGAAACCGCTCAGCGTCACGAACGCCGCTGCCTGCGCAAAGGCGTACCCGGCGGTGACACAAAGTTTGTCGCGTGGCGGACCATCTCTGTACCTTCACAGAGTCCTTTGACAGATTGGCGATGCCGCGTCAGTACCTTGGAACGACCACGCTTGGTGGTCGGCCGACACGCAGGGCTCGAGCGAAAGAACGGCGCTGATGTTGCGCGAGGCGTGGCCAGCGCTCCCGCACAACTCGCCACTGCGGATGGACCCGCGGCTCAAACGTCCACGATGTCGCGTTGGCGCAGTCGACGATGGTCGTCGTGGCGCCAAATAGAGCCGCGCTGACCTGGAGGTAATAGGTGGTGCCGTTGTCTTGAAGCTTGTCATCGTGTGTGCAGACCCATGCTTGGCAGACGCTCTTGTCGCAGGCGTAGAGACCCGCGGGTAGTCGGCCAAGAGCGCGTCGCACGTCACGTGTGCCGCGATGCGCGTGGAGCCGGGCGGAATGAAGCGGGAAACGTGCTAGGTAAAGTAATGCATGGGCTGTACGATAAAGCTCGTCTCGTCGGGTGTCAGCACCAGCGGCGCGTCGCACGTGTTCGCGAGGTGGTTAACTCCGCCGTTGTGGTCGAGGAGGAGGTTCCAGTCGACCCAGCCGACGGCCCAGTTGTTGAGATTGCCGAGGATGTCGTGGGCGTTGTAGCGCTGGCCGGAGGCTACGTCCGGGTAGGTGCAGCTCTCATTCGATCGAATAAACTCGGTTACGTCCTTAAATGCGTCACGTGGAGCTCCGCGTGGTGCATGACGCCGTCGAGCTCCCAAGCTCCCATCACGTACCAGTGCGTCATCGACAAAGTCGGTGGCCTTGGCATCATTGACGTGCGCATACTCGGTGATGGCGTCGCGAATAAGCCATGATCTTGACCTCGGGGTGGTCGGCGGGGTCCGAGGAAGTTTGCCATATAGTCGGCTTGCGCGTCGGCCGTGTACGCGCACGCCTCTTACGTCGCAGAGAAGAGCGGCCCGTTCTGCGGCGTGGGCCCCCGCGCCCTGCGCCTTGTACGCCTAGATAAACTTGGAAAAGTAGAGCACTCAGGACGTGTGAAAGTCGATTGGGCACCATGCGCGTTTGGTAGCTTCATCCACGCCGGCAGGCTCCACGGCAAGAGGAAGAGCTCGAGCTGCGGCTGCAGTCGCTGCGCTGGGCGAGGACCGGGATGACGGTCGCTTGGTCGTGCGTCACGTTCGTGTCCAAGTGCAACAAGACCGTGTCTTTGACAACGTCGTCGAACGAGTAGTACGCCGAGCTAAAGTCGCACGAGTTTATAGCTCGATCGTGTAGCTCGCGCCCGTCTCCGCTTCAAAGTAGAGACGCAGCTCCTCAGCCTGCCGCGCCGGCGACAGCTTTGCAAACTGCAGGGCCGCCGCCTCGGTGAACGCGCCACCGAAGCCGAAGATCTCTTCAAACACACACGACGTTTCGACGTGATTGTAGCTCGAGGCTTTGGCGATCGGTGCTCCAGTCAGCGTGGCCAATTCGCTGCACTGGCACTGCAACTTAACCACGCGCAACGGCAAAGACGTCGACAAGTACGTCGGTGCAGACACAAGCTGTCAGAAGAAGCGTGGTGGCGCCAAGAAGGACCTTGCGGATCGACGCCAAATGGCTGTCGTCCGTACTAGCTACCGACAGAGCTCCGTATAGCGTCGTGGCCTTGTTGAACAAAGCCATCTGAGATATTGTGTCGCGTTCACGGCTGATATCAACTGATCGGGAGGCGTCCATCGTCGACGCTGTCTCCTTGACGAACACCGGCTGAACGCAGGCGCCGGCAGTTGGTCAACAAACCGTCTGTTCAAAAACACCCAACCTCACAAACGCATCATAGTGAAACCCATATTATTGGCTGGCAGCACCAGGTTTGACCGATCCGAGATACACACACCAAAGAAAGATCACGTTGCTTATTCGAGTATGACGCGACACGGGTACGTCGCGATCAGCTGTCCATCGTCGACCGATTCGAGCATGCAAGCAAGGACGATACGGTCGCTTTAGCACTTGACGGCATTGGTTTGCGTCAAGAGACCGAGCTTGTACGGCAGCGCGTCGTAGTCGCCGCCGGCCTTTGGGTCGAGGCCCTGGTACAAGAAGCGCAACGGCTGGCACGGGTCCACCGTCAGCGTTTGGTCCGTCTGCGTGCGCACGAGCTCGCCGTGGCTGATGCTCTTGGTCCACGCGGCGCCGTTGGGAAACTGGACGTTGTTGGCGCGCGCGAACGGGTTGGCCTCCGTGTTGGCGAGAGCTGTCCAGGCGCCGCTGAGACTCGACGCCTTCCAGGACCGAAAGTAGCGATGGCCGTCGCTGCCAATGGCCTCGACGACGAGCATGTACTGGTTGCCGATGCGGTAGATGCACGAGGCCTCAAAGAGCGCAAACTTGTTGACGGTGT